AACTATCCCTTTAATGTCTTGTTTTTATTATGTACAAGGGCGTAAACATATTTAGCAGAAATAAAGGCTTGAAAACATTTTTTTTTTTATATTTTAAATATTTTTTGCTTATTCAGTTAAGTAATAAAATAATACATTGGAACGAATAAAATGGTATTAAAAGTGTGCAACTGACTTGGTAAAATATAAGAATAGGAGTGTCAAGGCAGGTTATTTATATAGCACATTTCAATAGCAAGAAAATTTAAAGTGCTTTACGTAGAAAACAGAAAAAGACAATAGGAAAGGTAGATTGCATAAAGTGTCTGAATATGGTAATTAAATAATATATGAACTCAATAAAATAAATGAAAAAGAGAATAAAAATGAATAAGATAAAAATAAGATAATTTTAAAAATAATGATAAAATAATTAGTAGGATAATGAATAGATTCCGACCCTTGGTGTTTAGAGTAAACCTCAGAGGTCTGAATGGTTGATTGACAACAGGTCTGTAATGTATTTTAGTACAGTAAGAGAAGTATTTTGAATTCTATTATCTGAGATACAAGGTGGCAGTAAAAGGACTTTGGAACTCAGGTGAGGTGCTCCACTGTCATAGTTTTAGTGAGGACACAGGCAGCAGGGTCATGGATCAACTGCAGCTTTCTGGACGACTATTTAAACAGACACCTTTGCAATCAGTTCTACCAAATATGAATGCATTGATTATTTTTCAAAGATCCTTTTGAGACATTAGTTCTTTAATGCAGGAGATGTTCTTAAAGTGATAGAGGAGCAACTTTTTTTTACTGTCTTTATGAAGGTTCAGATCGGAGTCCATCCCTACACCCAGATTCTGAGCCTGATTAGTGGTTTCCAGCTGCATTGACTGAAAGAGTGAGACAATTTAAGAAAACTGTGGATGCAGTCTGAAGTGAGAATAACTGATCAACTCAGAGCCTTATACAGTATCATAAATTATATTTATATAAGTAAAGATAAACCCCATGAAAAGGCAGAATTATCCTATCCATCATATAATATATACTTCTCTTACTTAGCGACCATCTCTAACAATAAGGAAATCATACACCCATATTCTTTTATGTTTCTAAGACGTTGTTGACTGTTTCAACATGTCTGGCTGTGAGAGGACTTTAGGACCCTGTTGGCATTAACACAGCCACGTCTTTATCTTTTACACGTGTGCTGTTAGCACGCTTAATATGTTCGCCCTACACAGCTGCGATAAAAAAAAAGCTGAGCAAGAGACAAGACAGAATAAAAGCATTCAGTTGGAATAATTGTTAATGTAAGAAGAAGAGCAAAATATGTTTTGCTCTGCAAACCATTTAGTATAGAATATATTTTCCAACATGCTTAAACATGGAGAAATAACAGAAGGTAAAAATCGATGAGTCATACTTTTTGCTTCTGTCCTTGTTCTTACCTAGTTTGACCTACTTTCATTTCATTTACAGGACCTCGGGAATGATAACAGGATAACCTCTGTAAGGTCCATTAACCTTTAGAGAACTTTGTTTTATTGTTGCTTGCATGAAAACTACCATTAGTAAAGTTTAGGGATGGATGGATGGATGGATGGATGGATGGATGGATGGATGGATGGATGGATGGATGGATGGATGGATGGATGGATGGGAACATTTTTATCTATAAAGACTTAAGTTAATTGTCCAATAAGTTAATTGTCCAATAAGTTAATTGTCCAATAGATTTCATATTGTCGCTGACAGTTTTTTTAATAGGCACTAACTATGTTGTTAAAAGTAGACTATCCTGTAGGCTTATGGGTCACTGAAACATTTTTGAAATAAAGCGGTGGTGTGAAACGTGAATGAGTCCAAGTGTTGTAACTAATATTAGGTCTTTGGCTGATAAGTAACCCCTATTAGAAGATAGCTGGCACTCCTGCTGTTTGACCTGTACTTCTAGGAATGTAGAAATTAATATGTTCATTATTAACCTGCCGCCAAGATCCAGTACAGACTGAATTATCATGATACTTGTTGTTTCCCTGACACAACCACTATGTTAAGGCTCATTCAGGTCATGACACAAAATGCACAAAGATTTCTAGACTATCGTTACATTTATATAAAACTGCTAACTAAAATCAAGTAGCATGGCATTATCATTTTTATTTGAGATAGAAAAGCATTTTTTTGTCTGCTGCTAAAACAGGATTCAGTCTATCATTTCAGCTGCAATATTTTCTAAACAACCTATTTTGCAAGAGTATAGGATAAAACATGCTTAGAAAAAATAAAATAAAATAAAACATGCTTAGATTGCATAATATACTTTTCTCTCATTTACCTTATCTCAAGTAAGAGAATGTACATGCTTGGAAACATGTATCCCCCCTGTCATTTGTTGGTAGATTACTATGAAGGCTCCCCTTTTATGCTTATGATGTATGAAATCACCCAGTCTCATAAAAGTACAGGCCTTTGTAACTGTTTTTTTAATTTCAGGTAAAGAGACAAACCCTCCGTGGCAGGATGCTTCAGTAATAAACATGGAAGATTATTATAAGATAATTAGAACAGGTCTAAAATATAAATTAGTATGGAGATTGTTTAATGTTAACACCTGCTCTGTAATGTACCAGCTGCATCCTCACCTCTGCATCTTGATATCAGAATTATGCCTCAAGGGGAACTTTGAAATAAATTATGATACTGCCATAAAACCTGTGCTGCTAAAGTATATATGCTGTACATATACTATTTATCCAACTGTATTCAACAGCTGACATATATAGCGATTCATTTATTTATTCTGAGGATCTCTTTGTCACAAATTCGAGAATGTTATCTACAGCCTGCATGAAGCAGACTGGGGGGAGGAGGGATGGAAAAGAGCAGGTAAGGTTATGGAAGAAGGGGTTATAATGCAGAATTAATCAAGTATTAAAATAGCAAGATTGTTTTTTTGTTTTTTTTACCAGTTATAAAATCCAGTTGACCATCTAAGAGTATTTTGTCCTGGGTGCAGGGGAGGCATATAGAAAATGTAAAGTAGAATGGTTAAGCACATGGTTATGAAAGGTTTGTTTGGGGTCTAAATAGTTAACCCTTTAACCTTTCTGGCTGTGTCTGTAAACACACAAACACAGCAAGAAAATGGAGGCAAATGGTCCTTTGTAGAAGTGAAAAGAGGCTATGAATTGCTAAAAGAGGTCTATCAGTCTATGAGATACTTTCATGAGAAAAAAATATAAACCCAACCCTGTGTTTTTATTGTATTTTTCATCTTGTGTAACTTTATAAAAAGATTTGTTAAAGACATTTTCCTTTTCACTGCTAAAGAGGGTAGAAGTTGTTCTCAGAGACCACAGTAAACACCTATAAAATGCATTTTCAGACATTTGTAGTTTGCCATTAACTACCATTGCACTGTGTGAAAGTGTGACCCAGTACAGGTTTTACCCATGAATAACTGTAACATATTGACAAAGCAATAAAGTTGTTATATTCAGCCAACAAACTCAGAATTAAAATTGAAACATACAACAGAAAGCAGACAAAACGCGTATTAATATTTACCCTTTTTCATCTCCCAACACTAAAATTGCTCTGAGCAAACTGACACTAGAACCTCAAAGACACACGTCTTTATGAAGCTGTTTGTGCATCCAAAAAGGCTGCTTATAGTCCCTCATCAGCCACATGAAAACCTCTACTCTGGCCACTTATTAAACTACAGGCAGCAATAAAACAGGCACACCTGCAGCTACCATGGAGCAAAGGTTAAACCACAGAAACACTCATCTGGAAAAAAAAAAGGCTGAAAAACAGCATCAACACACCCAGGTGATAAAGGAGGCCAAGGACAAGAAGGTCTCTGATTGGCTTGATTTGAACCGTGAAGCCATCTCCTACTGTAGGAGGGTTAGTTCCAGCTCATAATAAAATAGGTTTATCCACCATTTATGAGCCACAGTTCAACGGGAAACGTCTGAAGCAACACATTCGAAAGACACGATAGTGGAAACTTTTCTCAATCCGGCAGCTGAACTTATTTTTTAAGGAGAAATCATACCGACTGGAAAAGGAAACAAGTACGATAAGCTTGGAACAAAAAAAGCAGATACCGCTTACTCTTTGAGGAAGACTAGAAGGGAAGGGAGGTCTACCTCTGGAGCAGGAAAGGACATAAAAAGACAAAGAATGGGGTCATTTGGACTTGAGCTGGCTGGCATTAGTCTGTCAGTGGTGGGCTGGCTGCTGAGCCTGGTGAGTTGCTTTCTGCCCATGTGGAGGGTCTCAGCCTTCATTGGCGCCAACATCGTCACCGCTCAGGTGTACTGGGAAGGTCTGTGGATGAGCTGTGTATTCCAGAGCACGGGCCAGATGCAGTGCAAGGTCTATGACTCCATGCTGGCTCTACCGCAAGACCTCCAGGCAGCTCGGGCCCTCACCGTCATCACCATCGTCATAGGAGTGGTGGCTCTTCTCATATCCTTGGTTGGAGCCAAGTGTACCAACTGCATCGAGGAGGAGGTGGTTAAAGCCAGGGTGATGGTGTCCTCAGGAGCGGCGTTCATCACGGCAGCCGTGGCAGAGATCGTGCCCGTTTCCTGGTCTGCGCACACCATTATCATGGAGTTCTACAATCCAGTTATCCCCTCCGGGCAGAAGATGGAGATCGGAGCAGCGCTGTACCTGGGATGGGCTGCCGCAGCACTGCTTTTAATCGGGGGGGCCATTCTTTGCTGCAGTTGCCCCCCACAGGAGGAGAAACAGCTGAGGTACAACATAGCGCCTCAGAGCCGTATGGCATACTCTGCCGCTCCCAGGTCAACGACTCAAAGCTCCTACAATAGAAGAGACTATGTCTGAGAGAGACGAGCCAAAAAAAAAAAAATCTGTGGTTTAGATTGAGTTTTGACATTCAGTCATTATTTATACATGTTGAGATAATTCATTTGTTTAACCATAAACAACAGTTAAACAATTGTGTTTTGTAGATTACTAGAAATAACAATAGGCATATATGTTTTTATACATTTGAAAGGATTGAAAACTTTCCACATAATGCTGTTTACATATGTTCACTAAAGAAAGCAAAGAAAGCATCCTGTTATAAGAGGTTGCAGAATTACATTTTTGTTAAAGAGACACAGTAAAACCCATCTGTGCCCATAACCTGAGGTTCTCTTGGAAATGTGCATATCGATGTTTAGAGGTTATTGCACTGTCAGAGCAGATTGTAGCTGGAATAAATACCGTATTTTATCATTTTCTGGATGGATTTGAAAACTGTAAACAGGGGCTGCGCGCCAGCTCTCAGCTTAATGGGAAAGAAGGTCAAAATGACGGAGTTGACTGTAAAATAGAGTGAGGGAAGTAGTCAGGATAAGATCTGTTTGGTTTGCTTGATATGTGCTTTATTCTACGTTTTACTGCTATTGCTATTATATTTTCTTTTCCTTTGTTGTCACTTTTTTAATTGTTGAAGCTAATGTATCTGACTTTTGTTTAGCATATCTCTGAACTTTGTTATGTGTTTCTTGATATTTTTAAATGTATATGGAAAATGCTATATTTTTTCCTTATTGAAAGTGTCTGTGATGCCACGATAACATGAGATATTTTGTATTTACATTATGATTCTAACTAAAAAAAATTAATAGAGATTTTTTTCAGTGAAATATCTGTCTGTTTTTATTTTTTAATTCAAATTGTATTTTAATTGTAATTGCCTATTTTTATTTGCAAAAAGCTTGAGATTTAAACAAATTTTTGAATAAATGAGGTCATAAAGGACCACAATAAAAAGAAATATTTTGTATCTACATCTTCTTATGATTCTAAAAAAATAAAATCAATTAACTAATTTTCACAGTAATACTTTTCTGGACCATTTTTTATTTTGAAATTCACATTGTATTTTAATTGTAATTGCCTAATTTCATTTGCAAAAAGCTTGAGAGTTAAATAAATATTTGAATAATTGTGGTCATAAAGGACCACGATAAAAATAAATATTTTGTATCTACATCTTATGATTCTAAAAAAATAGATTAAATAGAAAGAGAAAAATAGAAAGAGATTTTCACAGTAAAACATTTCTGGACCATTTTTTGTTTTGAAATTCACATTGTATTTTATTTGCAATTGCCTAATTTTATTGGCAAAAACACTGAGATTTAAATATTTGATTTAATCAAATAAAGATAAATCAATGCGATCTTAAATTGAAGAGGCATTTTTTTCATTTAATGTTTTTCTTATAGACTTTTCCTGGTTAAAAAGCATGTAACAGATTTTGCCAAGGAAAAAGTAAGAAAAGAACTACACTAAGAGGAAGTGTGACGAGACACCAATGATATAATAGAAAACACGCTAGCAAACACACAACCGACACAACCAGAGTTGAGTTATGATGCTAACCTGGTAAATGAAGCTGAAAGACTCTTATCAGCTCCAGTAAACAAACTCGGGGGCCACGCCTTCTCTGAGGCCACTAATCCTTCAAGATCCCCTTCATTTAGCTTCCAGCCTTTTCTCTCACACACGCAAGCAAACGTTAACCCACCTCCACCCCTTCTCCTCCCTCATTCTCAGACTATTCTCAGGCAAACTCACCCTCTGGATTATTCCACCACCGGGGGAAAGAATACTCGAATCATTTTATCGGTTACACATCCAAGCGTAGGTTTATTCACAGCATTAAAGTTTTCTGCCGGGGCCTGAGCGCCAAATAACTTATTTCTTTATCAGCCTCTATCTCCTTGAAGACCAGTCGGCCTCGGCAGATGGCCGCTCACACTGAGCCTCGTTCTGCCTGAGGTTTCTTCCTAATAAAAGGGAGTTTTCCTCTCCACTGTCGCTCCATGCATGCTCAGTGTGAGGGATTTCCAGAGAGTCAATGAGTCCTCGCAATCAGCTAGTTTTCCTTAGATAGAAACCTTTTGAAGAATATTATTGTGTTACCTGTATAAATAAATGATTATTTTCTCATTGCAGCTTTTTTCTTTCTGAGTCTCTACAAGTTGAATTATTATAAAAGAGCTGTGAGAAATTAGATAAGATTATATATTTCCTTAGATCTAAAAAAAAAAAAACACATTTCTGTAAACAAACAAGTTTTTTTCATTGATCTGATAGCTTTTTTCTAACACCTTTAACCTATATCCTGAGACCTGAGGATGTTCTAAGATGTACACCATACCTGTACTGATTGTTTTATGGAAGACCTGTAAAAGAATGTGTGTCACGGAGTAACCCATGCCATCAGATAAGAATGCAGAAAAAACAACAAGTAATTACATCCGGCTGACTGGCTTACAGACCTGTGTTTCTCTGTTATTCACTCTGTGCTTAATCTTACCTGTAGGTGTTTGTTTTTTTCCAAGGAAGAATATCTTACCAGAGTGGGATCAAAAGCTCTAATCAAGAGTTATTGTACAAACAAAAGGGTAACAAAAGAAAACCATTAAAGTCATGATGTCATTGAATTCCCCTGTTTTGTGCTTTCAGTTTTGATTTAAAGAATTTGTTCTCAAATTAATAGTTTTTTCATGCTATTGTCCCCGGATATTTCTATTGACTTCTCACAGTGCTTCTATATTCTGTTTACTGCACTTTGTATACCTGTTTTGTGTTTTTTTTTCTGCCATCCAATAAATATCTTTGAAAAAGAAAAAAATATTTGTATAGCACAATTATTCAGTAGATAGACAATTCAAAGTGTTTTGTTAAGCAGTTATAAAGTAGTCAACTGAAAGTGCAATTACAGCTTTAATCCCACTCGTATTTAAGCAACGGCCTAGTATTGCCTAATGGTAAATCTCCCCCTGGTTTGCGCCCATGGCGACCAACAAGCTTCCTAGAAGACCATCCATCCATCCATCCATCCATCCATCCATCCATCCATCCATCCATCCATCCATCCATCCATCCATCCATCCATACATATTTTTTCTTTTTCTTTTTTTGGCAGGCAGTAAATAGAAGCAAGGTTAATACTGCAACTGCGTAGTTTAGACCACAGCCACGACCAACAAGCTTCCTAGTAGACATGGCGCTGAATCTACTGTAAATGCAAACCTCTTATTGATTGCTGGATTGTGTAATAAAGGCAATTTTAAACTCAAACTCTTTCTTTCTTTCTTTCTTTCTTTCTATTTTTTCTTTTTCTTTTTTTGGTGAGCAATAAATAGAAGCAAGGTTAATACTGCGAAGTTTAGAGAAGTCTTGTGCTTTTTATGCAGGCCGGGCGCCTCCAGCCGCATTGCTGCCCCCCTCAACACACAGGCTTGTGACATATCATGGGCATTATTACGCAGAGAAAATTCAGCATAGGACAGTTTTAGAAGACTCTAAGACGTGGGCATACGCTGGATAAATCGTCAAGGTATGACAGCGCCGTTAGCCAATAGCTGTGAATCTGAAAAAGTCATTTTAGGTTCATTATTGAGAGGGACATTAGTAATAATTGACATGTTATTTTCAAAGAAACATCAAAACAAGACATACATGATATTATTTTAGTGATAGACACTGAATTAAGTTCGGTTGAATGATAGAAATCATTAAAAAAAACTTTTAATTATTAAAAAACTTTTTTGATCTTTTAGCACTATAGTCTGACCTTATTGTTTTTGTAAACCACTCAAAGCCAATAAAAAAGTGAATACAAGTTATCCATGTGATTTGTTACTGTGTTATTTAAGCCACTTCCTAGGCCTGTGACATTTATATTCTGTAAAACATATCACACTGCTTAACACACAGCAGACTTCCGCAGATTTCTTTTTACTCCATTTTTAACATTGCAAATCTTACATAGCTTGCTTGAAAATCATAAATAAAAGTAAAGTGAAGGTAAACAAGCAAATGTAATCAAGGTAGATGCATAATAAATTGTTCAGTGTCTGTCTTCTTCCTGATCCACAGATAAGAATTATTTGAATAGTCAAATGATTTAGCCTGAGGTTCATGAGGATGTGGTTCCAACACTTTTTCTAGAACTGAATATGGAGCTAACCTCTGTAGTCTTTATAAAAAAAAGTAAAGTCTGTCTATTTTTAAGGTTAGGCTTAAAACTTTCCTTTTTGGTAAAGCTTATAGTTAGAGTGGCTCAGATTATCCTGAGCTATCTATATAGTTATGCTGTTATAGGCTTAGACTGCTGGAGGACATAAGGACCACTATTTTATCATTTTGTTTCATTCTATCTCTATTCTTCCACTCTGCATAATCCGTTAGTTCAGTCTCTAACGTTCTGCTCTCTCTGCTTTTTCTCATAGTAGCTTTGCCTCATCTGTTCCTGTTTGGCTGTGACTTCATCCTGGAGAGAAATATCAGCTGTGCTGCTGTCATCAACACCTTTGTTTATAGATGTTCGGAGATTGGCCTGTTTTTCCAGTGTCCTGTTTCTCTGACTGTGACTGGGTGGATGTGCTCTCGTCATCCTCTGACATGGGAGCTGCCTCAGAGCTTGTCTGCCTGGCTGTGTGTTTCCTGGACGGCGCTGCCTTTTACAGTTGCCTTTTGTATTTCTTCTTCCGTCTCCTTGAACCCCAGCTGGCTACATCAGATAACCGCTCACAGTGAGCCTGGTTCTGCTGGAGGTTTCTGCCTGTTAAAAGGGAGTTTTTCCTCTCCACTGTTGCTACAAGCATGCGTAGCGTGAGGGATTGCATCCTAGTTAATATGTCGATGCAATCAACTGGTTTTCCTTTGATAGAAAACAGTTTGACTGGATGATCTGGTGAACTGTAAAGTGCCTTGAGATGACATGTGTTGTGAATTGGCTCTATGGAAATAAACTGAATTAAATTTATGAGAAAATCCAAAGCCCTAGAACTGTCTGTTCTACAAGCTAACAGAACGTTACCACAAAAATATTAAACACCTGCAACAAATGCAGGTCTAAATTATTAAATTGGTGTAGGCAGCTGTATTTTAATAGCCCGTCCAGTAGTCCATCCTTTTATATAAGAGACTAAGAACGCTGGACAGTAATTAAATTACAGTTATAATCAACTAATAATAATTAATTGGTTTTATCCTGAATTTGATTGATTTTAATTAACCCTAACTTCCAGTTCTAGTTATTTAATATATCTATAGTTTTCTGGTAAAATTGCACAACATTTATATAACTTGAGTTTGTCAGGAAATAGGATTTTGTCATGAAGCGGTGTTTGTATGGAGGACCCAAACGCAGAGACCAGTAGGCAGAGGGGAATTAAAGCCTGTTTATTCTGGTTCACAGATCCAGAAGCAGGAATCAGAGTCCAACTGAAAATTACAAACGTACCAGAACCAAGGAGACATCAGGGATTAACCTAAAGCAGATGCCAGGGAGAGACGAGACAGGGCAG